TCCAAGTAAATGTATCCCTGTAACAAGCCGTGGAGGCCCATATAGTAGTGAGATGTTGAGGTTCCCACATTTTCTAGACAATCGGCTCATAGATGGTGGTGAGGTTGTTAGCCCTACACGCCGGCCGCCCTTTACCCCCAAGAATATTCCTGGTACTCATTTCTGTTAGAGGCTGAGTCGAACCCAGGGCCATAGTGCGGCTGGAAAAATTATGTAAATTGAAAAAATCCAATGACCTCTTCGGGACTTGAACCCGCTACCGCGTTGCCCCCTGTAAGTATGATACACTGCAAATAACGCCGTCTGGAATTTTGTGTATTACAGTATGAAGCACACCCCTTCCAGTCCTGTTGTGTGACATGGAGTAACGACAAAAGCAAAGCTGTTAAGTCACATTAATTACGTGCTGAAGTTTGATGTTGCTCTAGGCCAGAATTCGTGTTCATTTTGTATCTGACAGCTTCAAGGTATTGGAAATCCATAGAGCTGATATTTTGAAGAAGGGAGGTTTATTATTTACATAATTACTCGTTTCTAAGTTCCGTTTGTATCTGTAAACACATGCAGATATGCAACATGAGCATGCTGACTTTATAAATTACCTGTAATTATTGGATTTACAAATTTTGACAGGTGTCACAATGGTCTGAATATAACATTTGTGACGGAACCCCGTTATCAGTCAACGGTAGTAAATTGGACACAGTGTGTGGAATATCGGATTTCTTTGATTTGTTTCATTCTGGTCCGTCACACTAACACAGTATAAACAACACAGCACGCTACGTAGAAACATGGGACGACAACAGGCACCACCTTCCCAAGAGAGACAGACGGCACAAGTTCGGCCCCGTCAAGAAAAACGAAAGGACAAAGGACACGAACCAATTCGGTTAAAGAATTTTAACTTAAATAACAAAAAGTTTTTAAAAAACTTTAATGCATCAAGGACAGTTGCCGTAATTATAAAAAAATTGCATTTTGTAGAAAGTATATATTACAAATATTGTATATTTATGTATTTTAAAAATCAAAACACACATTGTGATAGTAGTTTCTAAAAGTATTGATGTTCCCTCTGATGATGGTCTATAGGGACCGAAACATGTTAGAGTGCTAAGAAGTGAAGTAGTAAAAGCTTCAACAGTCACACTGGACGGAATTGTCTTATCATTTGTAACACAGATTTCTGATTCGTCTTAACAATACGACACAAAATGGCCGACATCAGTAATCATAATTATTAGTATATGAAACTTTCAGCCTTGGCCGTCTCGGTTTTGGCTACGATTCTACAATACGGCTGTTCCGTTTTATGGGTATTTCGATATCTCACCTCGTGTTATTCATGCCCAAGATTCCGAGGGTTTCCGCAAAGTCTGTTGTGCGTTTGGAAGAGAATTAAGTTCGCGTGAACTCCGAGACGTGGCGTACGGTATTCCTCTTCGCCCAGAGCAGACAAGGAGAGAGGGGAGTGATATAGATCTTGGTTTCCTGGGTTTACCCACCCTGTAATTTTGTAAATGGCAACAAATCGTTTCAGTGAAGCATGTTGCTTCCATCTTAAATCATGTCTTCAAAATGGCGACAGGATATTCCTCTGGAATACTGGTAGCCGCCTGAAGTAAAAAGAACTGTTCTCTGTGGTTTTAGTCCGCAAGCGAACTATACCGACCGAACGACCGCCGCTTTTCGGCGAAGTTAGTGCCAACTCTTGCGGATAGAGGGTGTCGCGTGGTCAGCGCAATGGATTCCCACGGACGTTAATCTCGGGTTTCTAGAGCCGCTATTTCATTGAAATAGCTCCGCAATTATTCTCAAGAGGCTGAGTGAACCCCGTAGCGCCGGGAATCGAAGCCGGGACCTCTGGATCTGTAACCAGGAACTCTGACCACTAGAACACAGAGGTGGTCGCCATGACCCATCGGACAGTCTGAATTCCTTAAAAGAAAATTAATGACTTCACTCATATAAGTTGAAGGATTCTTGATTTGTTTAACGACATTCTAACTTGTAGTAGAATGATAAACTGTAAAAACTGTTGAGGAAACTGTCTTGACACCTTTAAATGTACAGTTTTAAAATAAAATTACTGGGTGTTTGGACTTTTTACATCGTCCGGAATTCTAGATAACAAAAGACATGACGTTTCGGAAACTGGATCTGTTTCCGTCTTCAGGTGAGGAAGGAAGACATATACTCAGTTGGGCCCCTTAGAAAGAGCTAATCTCAATCATTAAGGGGCCAAACTGAGTATATGTCTTCCTTCCTCACCTGAAGACGGAAGCAGATCCAGTTTCCGAAACGTCATGTCTTCTATTACCTACAATTCCGGATGATGGAAAAAGTCCAAAAGAAACAGTAATTCTGTGTGTCATCCACCATGGTCAGAACCCTTTAGAATCTAAGTGTTAAAATAGATAATTGATTAGTTATTAGTTATTGGTAGGATGGTGATATGGGCGGGGCATGCATCGAGGATGAATGACACAAGACGCACTTATTGATCTAGAATCCATTAAAATGGAATTATGGAAATTGGATGTGGAAATTCTACATGGATTGAACTCTCTTATTGTGGGACCCATTGTGCCACTTATGTAAAAGAAGTGAACGGACTTCATTTCGAAGGCCAGCAAATCATTCAGGCCTGTGCCTCATTTAATTACTTAACTCCAGGAATGGGAATGAAACTGTGAATCCCCGTGAAATTAACGGAGGGAACAGAAGGAATTGGAGCGGCAACAGAAGTTCCCACGGAAGTGTACGTTAAAATTATTGTCTTCTGAATTGTGACAACTTGTAGTTTTTTAAATAGCTACCGACTTTTCGGAGGAGATTACTGCTCCCTTCTTCGGGCTCGACTACCCTGAAGATGAAGCAGACAGGTTCCTATGGAACGTTGTTATTTAATTCACGGACCTCACAAAGTCACACGCCATATATAATTGAGGGGTGTAGTGGTCAGAGTTCCTGGCAACAGATCCAGAGGTCCGGATTGGATTCCCGGCGCTACCAGATTTTGTGAGAAGTAATGGGTCTGGAATGGGGTTAACTCACCCTCATGACGATAATTGAGGAGCTATTTCAAGTAAAATAGCGGCTGCGGTCTAGAAAACCGAGATTATCGGCCATGGGGGACCGTTCCGCTGACCACCCGACACCCTCTATCCGCTAAATTTGGCACTACCTTCGCCGACAAGCGGCGATCGCTCGGTCGGTATAGTTCGCTTGCGGATTAAACCCACGGAGTTCAGTTTTTAGTTTTTAATTTTTAGATTTCAGTTTTACGTGAATCTGTATCTTTTGTTTTAGTGGTCTACTTAAGCGTTGCATCGTCTGGTGATTACTTACTGTGTAGTCTGACCATGGTGGAAATTTATATAAATGGGGGAAATCTGTTCGTTCCACTTCACGGTAACATTATCGCTGTAATAATGTTAACAAGTACGGGCCTGGGTATGGGAGAACACGGACATACGTAGAGAAACGTACTCCGTAATGGTCAACAAGTCTTTTAGAAAAATCAGCCATCCACAGCTGTAGACCTTGGGGATTGTTCTAACCAATCGTGAAATCCTTTACAAAACTCTGTTTGATCTGAATTGCCTTTACGTAATTTCTTCAAAAGTCACTAGTCATTCAGCTTTTAAAGAAATTCTTCGCCTTTTACGGAATCTGGAGTCTCCACAACGGCACACCAGAGGTTCCTTCTTTAGACGGATCCAGTTCACATCCAAAGTCTTAATTCGTTGGGATCCACTGTAACGTTATCATCTCATCTGCGCCTGCGTCTGCAAAGTGGCCCCCTCCCTTCAGGTGTTACTACTGGGGCTTTCTGAACTTTCCCATCTCTTGCAGTCTGCTGCAGGAACCTCTCACCGTCACTGGTTTGATGAACCTAATAAAATTTGGTGAAGGGTAAAAATTATATCGCCGGTCACGGTACCCGAGCGGTCTAAGGCATGTACTGTCTTCGCTCGCTTGGAAACCGGGACCGTGGGTTCGGATCTGTTTCCTGTGAGGTACGAACTGAATTCTTATATATTATTCTTATACACTGCCGGTCACGGTAGCCGAGCGGTCTAAGGCATGTACTGTCTTCGCTCGCTTGGAAACCGGGATCGTGGGTTCGGATCTGTTTCCTGTGAGGTACGAACTGAATTCTTATATATTATTCTTATACACTGCCGGTCACGGTAGCCGAGCGCTCTAAGGCATGTACTGTCTTCGCTCGCTTGGAAACCGGGATTGTGGGTTCGAATCCCACTCAGGGCATGGATGTTTAGTTTCTGTGTGTGCGTTTTTCTGTGTTTGCGTACAGGTAGAGGCCTTGCGACGAGCTGAACACCCACCCAAGGAGTCCTACCGAATGTGTAAGACCTAGAAAAACCGAAATGAACGGAGAATTTCACGGAGGCCTAAGCCCACTAGGGCTGTAGTGCCAAGGAAAAAAATTATATCGGTCCTCGTCTTATGAATTACATGCATTAAGCATTATGTAAATAATCTGTTATGGCATGTAAACAACTGGGAATTCAAACTGAAATTAGAATATGACACTTTTAATTCTGAACTGCATTTAATATTGACCCATTTTTCCTAATGTTCGTTGTGTGCCATTTTAGGCATTAGTAGTTATTTTAATGACCGCCTCTGTGGTATAGTGGTCAGCGTTCCTGGCTACAGATCCAGAGGTCCGGGTTCGAGGAGATCATTGGATTTTTCCAGTTGACTTAATCCTTCCAGCCGCACTGTGGCCCAGGGGTCGACTCAGCCTCTAACAGAAATGAATACCAGGAATATTATTGGGGGGTAAAGGGCGGCCGGCGCGTAGGACTGACAACCTCACCGCCGTCTGTGAGCCGATTGTCTAGACAATGTGGGAACTTCAACAACTCACAACCCTATTCGCCTCCACGGCCTGTTACAGGGATACCTTTACATACTTTTACAGCAGGAAATGTATTACACTCAGGCCCGAAATGGACATGTTGCAGGCAGGGCTGTGGTCGAGTAGAGGATGTGGCCGGGAACTGTGGGTAGCTGACGGTGCCATGGCTTGGACCGGAGCCATACTGCTCACTCTGGCTCTGGGACACGTGACCGGCGCCCACTGGACCCACTCAACGGATTTGGACCCCAACTACTCAGTGTTCTGGACTCCCGGTGAAGAAGATATCACGTTCGAAGTACAAGTACGAACACTGGGATATGTCGGCTTCGGTTTCTCGGCGGATGGGCAGATGGCAGGAGCTGACATGGTGACCGGCTGGGTTCGCGACAACCAGGTCTTCTTCCAGGTAGGGACCAGCTGACAACTCGGCTAACTTTATCCTTCCACAGCTCTCGCACGAAATATTACGGCAGGTGAAATGTCTAGTGGAAATATCTCATGAATCATCCCCAGGTTTTACATAAAATATTCTGCTACGGGGTTGAAATGATCGTCGTTTTCAATGCTTTCACGCACTATATACACTAGCATAATTGTTGGGAAAACTGGTTCATTTTCTTCAAATCTATTAAACAAGAGTTCCGTGCAGCCTATTTTTCAGCCTGGAGCAACTATGGCTGTTGCACTTTATGTCCTGTACTTCCCCTCGGAGCGTCACTTGTATCAATATTTCATGATTAATCTTCTAAAGCACAGCGGTAATTAAATATGCCGAGTGTGTGAATAACTCTGCATTTCCCCCTACACTGCCTTCATGTTTCATTTCTCTTGACAATAAACATTATATTCTTAAGCCTTGTCACAATTTTAGAGTTACTGTAGACGGGTTTTGGATTGATGATCGTATTTTATTAGACTCTCTGTTACATCGCGTGACTCTATACTTTGCAATTCACTATTACGCACACTTACACTTACTAGTGTCCGCAGTTACGTCTTCAGTAGCCGTTGATCGGTAACGGCTTCTAATAGCTCACGTTCCCTTTCCTCTGGGTTCCCGAAAAATCCCCGGCTTCAGCTACCAGCTTCTTACAGCAACAGTCCACAACAACTGAACCCCAGCGGTTCTCTAACTAACCGGCTCAGTCAGCAACCAACTCGTTCCCTTCCACTGACAGACTGACTGACTGATACCTCATTAACTCTTCTGTTTATAAAATAACAGCAAGGACCGCTGAGAAAACACTGTTTTTCTGTTGCTGCTTACAGGCCGTTGTCTAGTTTGTTTAGCCGTCGTTTCCCAGCAACGGGCCCACTTGCAACGTTATCACTAACCGGTTTGTCTTTATAAAGTAGACGAAGATTCATTTTTAAATATTTCTACATGAAGTTCAAACTTCGAAGTAACAAAAGATAGTACACAGTTCGTCATGCGATTTCATGTATTATATCGTACATTATATATTTAGACTGCAGTAAATGATGATCAGGGCCAGGATTTTGATGACCTGAAAATATTCAAAAAATGACCAAAAAAATCCAGAAAAATGACCTGAAGGAGAAAAGAAAGAACACTTCTCTTCCATACTATTCACATTTCAGAAAACATATGAAGAAAAATTCCCTAAAATGGCCAAAAATTACAAGAAATACACTTAAGAGTCCAAAAATTTACCAAAAAATTATTTCAAAAATGAAAAAAATGACCTTGAACCTAAAAGTGTCAAAAAAATTACAAAAAAAAACTATAAAATTTACATTTCTGTAACCAGCAGCTCATATCCGAGATTTATATATTTAAGGGCATCGCATAGGATACAAGGAAAAAAGATGACATGTCATCAAAATCCGTGCCCTGATAATGATGTTTCACTGGGGGGCAGTTTTTCTGGAAACAGTGGCTTGCTCAGTATCATCTTGAGACTGCGACGTTTGTTTGTGCTGAGATTTCACGGTCTCTGGTCAAATACATTGCATCTTTCGAAATTATCAGCTGAGTGTGAAGGGCTCCTACCATCGAAGCAGTCAGTCCTGCACAGTACTTCCAATTTGATCTGCTTATACGTGCTGTAAGTGTGGGACTTTACAACGTGATAATTCGGCCGTGCTCGAATTAGCTCGTCAAGTGTTATCTAGTAGCTGTCAGGCTTCTTAGAAGAAAGGGGTGGAAGAGAAAAGAAAAGAAAGAAGCTTAATCAACGATGTGCAACAGTTTGAAGTGGGAAAATGATCATTGGAAATTGTATTTACTTTCCAGAACATTCCCAACTCAATTTATATTGTTATATTCATTCTGTATGTTTGTATGGTTGCGGTCACATAAAAAAGCCATATTCTTCCCCGTTAGAATTACCAGGTTGTACTGAACAAAGTACATCTCAGTAATCTTTAAGGAATGCATCATTTTGTGTGTTGAGTACTTTTCGTGTTGCATGACAAACACAACAAAAACAAACACCAAATAACTCACTCACGTTCTACTCTGCATAACTCCATAGTTTCAGCCCGCACGCGAACTATACCGACCGAGCGACCGCCGCTTGTCGGCGAAGTTAGTGCCAACTTTAGCGGATAGAGGGTGCCACGTGGTCAGCGCAACGGATCCCCATGGCTATTAATCTCGGTTTTCTACACCGGAGCCGCTACTTTTCCATTCACGTAGCTCCTCAATTACGCTCACGAATCTGAGTGGACCCCGTTCCAGACCCACCACTTCTCATAAAATCTAGTAGCGCCGAGAATCGAACCCGGGACCTCTGCATCTGTAGCAAGGAATTCTGATCACTGTGTATATCTGAGTTTATTTTATTGTACAGAGTCGTTACACGTTGGTTCATGGGGCCATCATCAGGCGATACATAAGCAAGAGTTACACTATTGAATTGTGCTTTCTAATGGATCCATATATTGTATTTAGTCATGTATTACGAATAAAGCAATAATATAGTTTGCTTCTCTCGTTTTTACCATTCACCATTATATGAACAAATTAAGTGATTTTATAATGTACCTAAATTTGTTTAAAATGTATGAAATAAGTATTTGATATTATTAAAATGTTATAAGGATATTAGTCCGGATATTTTCTCATCCGTAGTTTAAATAAGGTCGTGTTGGACGCAACCACAACACTCACCGCTCTAATAACCTCTCATCTCAAGCGACATCTGGGATTACGAACGGTCTTGTGGGATGTGACGCCATGTATAACTGTACCAGAGTGTACGGCATCAGATTGCAGACGTTTGTAATTTCTATACCCTTATATCAAAAGAAGTCTGAAGCTCTCAGGATATCAGTTATCTCCAGGTCAACGTGTGCCAGTCCCCACCCTCGTTCATGTCGTGATCTTCAGATTAAATCTTTCCGTTTACGCAAGTCGTTTCGACACGGGTTAAGGGCCCGAGGTGCAATGAAACCTGTCTTTCGGCTTTCTGAATAAAATTGCAAAAGTATATATTGCTCGCTTAGACGACAGGTTACCAATCATGACATAATAATATTGAAGGAGACCTCTGAGAAGACCAAGAAGTAGGTGCATGAACAATATTAAAATGGATCTTAGAGGGATAATATGGGATAGTATGGATTGGACTGATCTGGCTCAGGATAGGGAACAGTGGAGGGCTCTTGTGAACACGGTAATGAACCTTCAGGTTCCATAAAATGCTGGGAAATTCTTGAGTAGGTTCAGATTTGGCTTCTCCTCAAGAAGGGCTCAGCTCCATAAGTAAGTGAATAATAATAATAATAATAATAATAATAATAATAATAATAATAATAATAACAATAAATTATCATGCAGACATTCACTGTTAGACTGTTGGCGACGTCAAAACTCTGTACTGAATGAATACACACTATTAAAGCCACATTGTTCAGTGATATTAGACACTTACTTACTTACTTACTTACTTACTTACTTACTTATGGAGCTAAGCCCTTCTTAAGGAGACGCCAATTCTGCACTTACTCAAGAATTTCCCAGAATTTTATGGAACCCGAAGGTTCATTGCCGTGTTCACAAGAGCCCTCCACTGGTCCCTATCTTGAGCCAGATTAATCCAATCCATACCATCCCATTCTATCTCTCTAAGATCCATTATAATATTGTCCACCCACCTACGCCTTGGTCTTCCCAGTGGTCTCTCTCTTTCTGGCTTTTCCACCGATATCCTATATGCATTCCTCTTCTCCTCCATTCGTGCTACATGTCCTGCCCATCTCATACCCCTCATTCCCCTCAAGTTACTCTCGAAACACTGGCAGGAAGGTAAATATATCTTCATGTAAAATGCCCTTTAACTCTGTCCAATTTTAATCAAAATTAGAATTTCATAATAAATTTTAATAAAATTCTAAAATATCAAATTCGATTAAGTACCATTAAAAATTCTCGAATTCTGTCATGCTTAGACACAGGTGGAAGGGGGGCGCTTTTACGATGTTCCCCAATGGTGGTAACCCGCGAGCTTAAAATGAAAAATTGAAATAGTGAAAGTAAGAGAGAGAGAGCCCGAGAAACTTGACGTGAAAGGAAGAGGTGAGAAGAAGCTAAACAAAGACAGGATTCCCGGGAGAAAACAATTTCTGGCTGTCAAGATGTCAAGAAGTGATGAAGACTACCACAGAGGGAACGGCGCAGGAAACGCGTCTTCTTGATTTTCTGCTCCTTTCAGAACAATCCTCATGAAAGATGAACGGAATCACGTGCCAGAAACGTACGAAATTGTTTAACGATTTATGTGCAGGGGCTGTTGCTCAGAAGTACGTGTGCCCGATGCACGTATCGGCACAAGCAGAAGCCCCCGCTCCTCGAGCGGACTTACTCATGGAGCTGAGCCCTTCTTGAGGAGCCGCCAATTCTGCAGCTACTCAAGAGTTTCCCAGCATTTTATGGAACCCGAAGGTTCATTACCGTGTTCACAAGAGCCTTCCACTGGTCCCTATCCTGAGCCAGATCAATCCAATCCATACCATCACATCATATCTCTCTAATATCCATTATAATACTGTCCATCCACCTACGTCTTAGTCTTCCCAGTGGTCTATTTCCTTCTGGCTTTCCCACCAATATCCTATATGCATTCCTCTTCTCCCCATTCGTGCTACACGTCCTGCCCATCTCATCCTCCTTGACTTGATCATTGTAATTATACTTGGAGAAGAGTACAAGTTATGAAGCTCCTCATTATGCAGTTTTCTCCAACCCCCTGTCACTTCATCTCTCTTCGGTCCAAATATTTTCCTCAACACCCTGTTCTCAAACACCCTCAGTCTATGTTCCTCCCTTAATGTGAGAGACCAAGTTTAACAACTATACAGAACCGCAGGCAAGCAGTACGAATATATACGTAGTTACCTGAAGAAGGCAGAATTCAGTCGGTTCCGCTTTATTCTTATCAA